ATAAATGTAATACATCATATTAACAGAGCCAAGGACAAAAATCATACAATAATCTCAATAGATGCAGGAAAACCTTTTGACCAAGTCCAGCACTCATTCATGATAAAAAAAAAAACCCTACAGAAAATTGGAATACATGGTTTATCTCAATCTGATAAAGCCCATCTATGACAAACGAACAGCCAACATCATACTAAAAGGACAAAAACTGAAAGCTTTCTTTCTAAAATCAGAAACAAGGCAAGGATGCCCACTGTCTCTACTCTTATTTAACATAGTCCTGGAAACTTTATCTGGAGCAATTAGACAAGCGAAAGAAATAAAAAGAATAAAGATAGGAAAGGAAGAAGCTAACTTATTGTTATTTTCAGATTACATGATAATCTACTTAGAAAACTCCACCAAAAAAAAAAAAACTCCACAAACTCCACCAAGACTTCTAGATTTAATAAGCAAATTCAGTAATGTAGCTGATTGCAAAGTCAACATTCAAAAATCAGTAACCTTACTGTACACAAATAACTCACTGAGACAATCAGGGAAACAATACCTTTCACAATAGCATCTTAAAAAATGAAATACATAGGAATCAATCTAACAGTACTCTGAAAAAGGATATTGAAGAGGATATTAGAAAATGGAAAGTGCAAATTTTCTGCTACAATCACACTGTCAGTAACACTGACAGTGCTTGATATGAATTGTGCATGATATGTGGAAAATACTACAGAGTATGCACATGAATTATCATTGATCCAGGTGACTCTGATAGCCTTAGAGACAGACTGATAAAAATTAAACTATGCAAAATTTTTCTTCAATAAAACTCACCACCACAAACATCTGCTTGGCAAGCACAAGGTCCTGAGATCAATTCTCAGTACCAAAAAAAAAAAAAAAAAACCCTCACCAGAGCTAGCAGCGTTCATGATCTCTTTTCTCATGCTCTCTCTGTTTCTTTCTTTTACCATTGACAGTCTTGCTGTGTAAATTCAGACTGACTATGTAATTCGTGGCAATCCTCCTGTCTCTGCCTTTCAAGTGCTGCGATTACAGGTGTGCACCACTACACCCAGAAGAGTTTATTTTATTTATTTAAGGTTTAACTGCAATTGGCACTTTAAGATAAATAAGTGGGTTTTAGGTTGCAGTTTGGGCACTCATCTCTAAACTTCACCATCCCTGACCTAAAGCTACCCAGACCTACACTGGTATTAATATGAAGTCCACCCTTGTGCTTTGACAGACAAAAGTTTTGGTTCATTTTAAATAATTTGTATTTGTGCTAACTTAATCTAGTCATCTAAAAGCTAAAATTTGCAGAGTACTCTAAGTGCAGGTGTTATGGTAGATACATTGTGTCAATTTGAGAAGTTTAGCAGTTTAACTGAGAGATTCAGCAGGGAGCCAGGACCCTTATGAGGTAAATATTCTCATTCTGTGCAAGAGGAGGGCAAGGAGATTTTGTGAGTGCTACATTTGCCCTGGGGGGAGAAGGGTGGCCTGCATACAATATAAGGGAGGAAAAAAGTCTTGCTCTTCCCCCTCCTTTTGCTCTGGCTGTTTTTGCTTGCTACTGCCTTGAAGTGTTGCCCCTGTGCTAAGCCACCCTGCCTTGGAGCCAGCCGATTATGGACTGAAACCACATTGAGCTAAATAAACCTTTCCTTCCTTCATTTTGGATGTGGGATAACCAAGTCAGCAGGAAACAAGAGGTCATATAATCCTTTAGCAAAACTAGGCTTCAACACCTCCATTCCCTTTCTTTGGAGAAGTTACACATTCCAGGAGGAGGAGTTGAAGAAAGCAAACTACCAGCCCTACAAAAAATACCATGGTCACACCAAGGCAGTGCTCAACTCAAGCACAGGAAACAAGGGTTGAAGATGCACTGCTGCTGTGGGGTTTGACCCAAAGGTGTTTGCTAATCCCCCAGCTAAGCCAGGCTCACTAGAAACTTCACATACTCAGGCCCTCACCTGACAGTTAAAATGGTGAAGGAGAGACCTGTGGCACACAGCTACCACCTCAGGAGGACACAGAAGAAACTACAAGTACCTCTATTGAGACAGGACAGAGCTGGGAAAGACCTCTGGCAGTCTCTGAGCAGGCAGTGACAGTTACAAAGGTAAACCTATCAGGACCTCCTTCCTTTTGAAAAGAACAAAGAACAATGGGCATTCCAAACAAGTTACAGAAAAATGACACTGGGGGGACAAAAAGAAGACAATTAAAATAATTATCAGCCAAGTTACACTACAAAGCTACAGTAACAAAACAGCAAGGCACTGGCACATATACAGACATGTAGACCAGGAACAGAACAGGAGACATAGAAACAATTCCACACACCTACAGGAATTTGATTTTTGAAAAATATATCCTTAAGAAATGGTTCTGGGCATGGTGGTGCATGTCTCTGTAAGCCCAGCACTCAGAAAGTTGAGGCAGGAGATCACCATAAGTTAGAGGACAGCCTGGGCTAGTGAGTCCAAGACTAGCCTGAATGGCATAGTGGAACCCTGTCACAAAAAGACAAAAAAGAAAGAAAAGAAGAAAAGGTGCTGGAAAAAATGAATATCCTCATGCAGAAGAATAAAATTAGATCCCTCTCTCATCCTCTACTAAAATCAAATCAAAATGGATCAAAGACCTAGATACAAATTGAGAAACTTCAGCTGAGTGTGGTAGTGTGCACTTGTACTTCCAGCACTCAGAGAGCTGAGGCAGGAGATCACCACAAATTTGAGGCCAGCCTGGGCTACAAAGTGAGTTCAAGGCCAACATGAATTACAGAGCGAGACTGAGTCAGAAAACAAAACAAAACAAACAAACCACTTTGATGCTGCTGGAAGATAATGTAGAGGAAACAGCTGGGGACATAGGCATGGACAGGCTTTTCAAACAGAACTCCAATAGTACAAAAAATAATATGAAACAGCCAAGAAAATAAAAATCAACAATCCAAGCATGGTGGCACGTGCCTATAATCCTACCACTCTGGGAGGCTGAGACAAGAGGATTGCAAATTTAACCATGACTGGGCAAAATAAGTGGTTTAGTGAGACTTTGTCTCAAAATAAAAATTTTACAAAGAGCCAAGGATGCAACTCAGCGGCAAAGACTTTGAGTTCAACACCCAGTACTATATTTTAAAAGATCAACAAATGGAACTGTATCAAATTAAAAGGCTACTAATTAAAAAATGAAAAAGAAAAAAATAAAAAACTTCTGTAAAGGAAAGGAAACAACAGAAAGAAAAGACAACCTACAAAAATGGGGGGGGGGGAATGTCAGCCACTTTTTTGTAGTACTATGGATTGAAGCCAGCACCTTTCCCCTGAGCTATTATATTTCCATCCTTTTTGAAATTTTCATTCTGAGACAGTCTTTTTATTTTTATTTTTGAACCAGGAGTTGAACTCTTGTCCTCATGCTTGCCATGCAGTCACTGGGCCACTGAGCTATATGCCTGGCCCTTAAGACAAGGTCTGTCTTGTTCATTAAGTCTCTCTAAATGACTTTGACTTGTGATCCTCTTGCCTCAGTCTCCCACAATGCAAGGATTACAGGCATGTGCCACCATACCTAGTTTGCCAGCTACTGTTGAGACAGAGAACTAATATCTAGGATAACTCAAAAAAAGTAATCTTCCAAAACCAAAGGACTCACAAAAAAAATGGGCAAGTGAACTGAGTAGACACTTCTCAAAAGAAGAAAAACAAGCTTGGTATGGGGAATACACAAGTAGTCCTAACACATGAGAGACTAAGGCAGGAGGTTCACAAGTTCGAGTTCTTACTGGGGCAACTTAATAAGACCCTGTCTCAAAAATTCCAAATTTTAAAAAGGTCTGAAAATGTAGCTGAATGATAGAGCAATTCTAGGTTATTTCCAATACTACCTCCCCTACAAAGTACAAATGGCCAATACATTCATAATCCCAGCACTCTGGGAGACAAAGGCAGGACTATCACAAAGTCCTGAGCCTGGCTTGGAAAATTTAGCCAGACCATGTGCTAAGGATGTAGCTCAACCCTTGGGTTCATTGCTTAGTACAAAAAAAAGTTCAATATATTTAGCCATAAGGGAAATGCAAATCAAAACAATTTTGTGATTTCATCTTATTTCAGAATGGCCATAATCAAGAATAAAAAAGCAATTAATGCTGATGGGGATATAGGCTAAAAGGAACCTTGACATTATTGCTGAGAATGTAAATTAGAAGTACTACTATGAAAATCAATATGCCATGCAAACTAAAAACAGAAATTCCATATGAGCCAGCTATATCTCTTTTGAGCATATTTCAAAAGAATTAAAAATAATACATTACAGTAATACATGCATATCCAGGCTTAGAGTAGTGCAATTTGCAATAGCTAAGCTTGAAAACAGCCTAATGCCTGTCAACAGATGAATGGATAAAGAAAATGTGGTCCATATATAATATTATTTAACCATAAAGAATGCAATCAGGTCATTTACAGGAAAATGGATGAAACCTGAGATTATCATGTTAAGCAAAATAAGTAAGACACAGAAAATTAAATATTGCATGGCTTCTCTTATATAAGAAACCAAAAACATAAATAAATAAGTGAATAAAATCATGGAGCACTCTCCCAGCACTTGGGAGACTGAGGCAGGAGAATTGCCATGAGTTCAAGACCAGCATGGGCTAACAAAGTGAGTTCAAGGTCAGCCTGAACTACATAGCAAGATGCTGTTTCAAAACAAAAGCAGAAAAAGATAAGAAAAAGTGGGGAAGATGCTAGGAAGCAACAAGGTAGACTTTGTGAGCTAGAGAAGACACTGGGGAGGGGAGAGGTGAGGGCATGGAAGGAAGAGGAACAAAAATGATGCCACTATGTTACATTCATGCACCAATTAGTCCCCCTAGAAAGACATCCCTATTCTCTACTGAAAATGGATACTCATAAAATGTTTCAATCACTTGAAAACATTTCTAAAGAAAAAAATGTTTAAGAATCTCTTACCTGAAGCCAACAGAGTTTCCCATGGCGACACACATTAGCCCCTTCTGCAGCCACACTCAGGACACTTTGCTTCTTGATATGGAGCATCTGGTAAGAAGAAAGACGCTGCTGGGGACACCTGGGGCATCCTAATGCCACTAACAGCACAATAGACAGAAAGCTGCTTCTCCCACACATAGGAATCACTCCTGAACACCTGATTCCTTTTCTTATTTTAGCAAAAGTTCCACAGGCAGAAGATAAGTCACTCAGACCCCAAATGCTGTTGAGAGTTAAAAACTAAGCCACTTTTGTTACTGCTGATGCTACCAAGAAAGAATTTTGGTCTTAAGGACAAGATAATGAATGCAGCTGGGTGTGGCACACACCTGTAATCCTGGCACTCAGGAGTTTGAGGCAGGAAAATTGCTGAGACTTCTAGGCCAGCCTAGGATAAATAGTGAGATGCTGTCTCAAAAAAAAAAAAAAGATCCCTTACAGATCTGTGGCCCTAACACAGGGCAATATACTACATCTGAAATAAACACAATACCTACTGTTAAGAAAGATATAAACAGTCAGGTGCGATGGTGCATGCCTGTAATCCCAACACTCAAGAGGCTGAAGCAAGAGGATCACTGCAAGTTTGAGACCAGCCTGGGTTACAAACCGAGTTCAAGGCCAGCCTGAACTGCATTGTGAGACTCTGTCTCAAAAAGACAAAAAAAAAAGACAGAAATGAGCAACAGATACCTTATTCCTCAGCTTCATTGAATTACTCAAAACCGAAACAGTGATATACTCTTGCCCTTTAGTTATCCATGACTTTATCCCTTTTCAAAATCTCATAAAATTCTAAAAGCCTTAAATGGGGCTGGGGATTTAGCTCATCGGCATAAGTGCCTGTCTTTCAAGTGCGTGGTGGTGAGTTAGATCCCCAGTACTGATTAAAAAAAATTAAAATCCTTAAATAGTTACATGACTCCATTTTACAGGTAAGTAGATAAGTTACTCAAGAATAGAAGAGTATAGTAATTTTATACAGAGACAACATCTTCCTTGAGAAAATATAAAATGTTCTACATTCTTCACCAGTAGTAAGGAAAGGGCTAGGTTTGGAGGCACACGTGTATAATTCCAGTACTCCTGAGCTGAAGCAATTACTGAGCCTGAGCAATTTAGAGGCTTAGCAAGACCCTATCTGAAGATAAATAAAATGTTTTAAAGGCTGGGTATGTAGCTTAGAAGGCCCTGAGTTCAATCCCCCAGCACCAACGGGTGGGGGAGAAACAAACAAAAAATAATAATGAAAGTGGGGACTCAGTTTCATTAAAGCTATAGAACTGGGAATTAAAACTGTTGTAACCTGGCTAAGACATCGCAATCCTGTTCTGTCAGCATCATTACCCTGACCTCTGTTTCAACTTTTGTTTCTTGTGAATTATCCCCTTCCAGAACAGCAATTTGGTCCTGAAACTGGCTGGCCCTTAGGTTGTAAAACATTTGCTGACCACTAATTGTAAAACACTCGGTCCCAGGACCAATGGCCCTGATTGTAAAACATTTAGCAAAGTGTCCTGAGTGTGGCTGCAGAAGGAGCTAACCCTTTTTGTATACGCTCCCTCCCCTTTTTTTCTTCTTTGAGCTTTTTTCTTTTAAAAATCCCCTGTAACCTAACCTGGTTACACAGCTCTGTAGATTTCAACGCAGGTTGTGTTGCTGGGTACCAGCTAAAATAAAGCACTTCTTTTTAAAGACGTCTTGCCCCATTTTTTTGAACACCTTGGGGCCTCGTCTTTGGGGTACAATACTTGGGGGCCTGCCCAGGATATTTTGAGGACCCTTCCCCAAATTATTTACAGATGGCTTAATATCTGTAAGTATGCTATTTAATTTGGGGCTTTTTGCCCATTTGGGTGCGTACATTTGTAGCAGATGAGCCAGGTGCTCCTTCTGAACCAGAAAGGGACGCTTCCTGGGGACTTTTTGCCCATTTGAATTTGTCTTTGTTACTAACTTTGGGGGCTCTCTGCCCATTTGAATGTGTCTTTGTTACTAACTTAGGGGCTCATTGCCCATTTGAACTTGTCTGTTACAGGCTCCATGTGGCTTATTGGATTCAACAGTTATAATGAAAATTGTTTCCCTTTAGGTCACCGGACTGTGGACAGAAAAGTCTTCCTGTGCGTGTTCAGTGTTTACCTTGTCTTTTGTGGTGCCTTGTCTTGTGTTTTTGTGTTTGACCAGTTATTAATAACTATGGGCCAGGTAACATCATCAGTGTCTTTATCTCCTTTAACCCTGGTCCTTAATCATTTTGGAAACTTAAGGATCGTGCCCTGGGGATACGGAGAACCCATACACCCTGGGAAACTCCGAGTATTTTCTGTGAACTTGAATGGTCCACGAGGGTTCCTAACTGGCCCCTTCGGGTCGTCTTGATTTGTCCATAGCTCAAGCCATCTTCGGTCCCCTGACCAACCCAGATCAAGTTGTGTACATTCAGGTTTGGATTGACCTCATTCATGACCTCCCCCTAAGCTTAAAAAATTTGTTAAGGCTTTCAACTGCACCAGGACAGGTCCTGTTTGCCAAGGGGAAAACCATACCTCTGAAGAGACTAGAGAGAAAAAATAAAAAAAGGGGGGGGTGAGTGTTCCCGCTGTAAAAAGCCATTTTATCTGGGAGCAAAACATGGGGCAAAAGGTTTCAGCGGAGGAGCAAAGGTATTTACAACTGCTCCAAAGCCTGCTTAAACGCTCAGGGGCTCTTGTGCCAAAGAAAGACTTAACAACAATGTTAAAAGAGGTAACCAAATATAATCCATGGTTTCCTCAAACAGGCACTATAGAGATAGATGTTTGGAAAAAAGTTGGAAAAAATATTAAAAAGAGCCCACAGGGCAGGAAAAATCATTTCCCCTGAGATGTTCTCAACTTGGAATCTGGTCAGTTTAAAGTCTGTTAAAAGAATGATTGGAACACAGAAGGAAGAGAGCTCCCTACTGAGGCATCTGCCACCAAAAAACAATCCCTAGAGGGATTGTCTCAGCAGGAGCCCAAGCCTTTATAAAAAATATCTCATAGGGCTCTATCCAGGAACTTACAGGTAGTGGGGGAAGAGGCAGCCACAAAAGGGAGCAAATAATACTCTCCCTGCTTGCTTCCCAGTTGGAATTGTAACAGATGCTAATGACCAGGAGTATTTTATTCATAAGCCTTTTAAAATACAACTGCTAAAAATCTTAAACAAAATGCAGGATTAGACCTTCCTGCTGCTCGCAGTCACTCTTACTGGAGGTGACAAGCCCACCTCAATTTCCACAGGAATTTGGTGTCCCCACCCACCTGAAGGAACACTTGGTCTTGTGCTGGGAAAGACTATCTAAATTTAGAAGAAATAACTATTGTGCCTAGTGTGAATGATGGTGATTATAGAGATAAAATACAAGCTCTTTCATGTGCTATGCACATCTGGGTTTTTGAACAGGGAGACTATGTAGCACAGTTGATTCTGTTACTGAAAGGGTTTTGGCCCAGGCAGGACACTACAGCCAATAAAGCCAAGGAGCTCTATTTCCCCCACCCCTAGGAATCTACCTCTGGCGCCAAACTAGTGCCAATGGGCTACCTGTGCATCCCTAATGCCCCCTTAGGTTTCACCCCAAACCGTGGCTACTTATGTGCCTCACTCCATGTGTTCCACAGAGAGATCGTCGACCCCAGGGTGGAGATGCCGCGCCCCAGGGGATCAGGGATGTCTCTCCCCGCATTCTCAAAATAAAGGTCATTTATATTTCATACTTCTTTTCTTTTCAGCCGCCGCCGGTCCTCCACAGTTCTATCAGTTACCTATAGAAAAACCTTCTTTCGTTATGTATAGACAGCTCAGGAGGGAACAAGACCCTCAGAACAAAACTACAAAAAAGAGAAATTTGCTTTACACAGGAAGTGACTAAAACAGGCCTATGTGTTTTATAAAAATTAATGAAAAATACCTTTGAGGGTCTGATAGATACTGGTGGGGATGTGTCTGTAATTGCTTTAGAACAATGGCCTGCCACGTGGCTGACTCAAAGGGCCCCCACATCCCTTATCAGACCGGGGACCCCTCAGCATGTTTTATAGAGTGCCTCACCTTTGCCTTATGAGGGACCAGACCAACAAAGGGTTTCTTTTTACCTTATATGGCACTTATTCCAGTTAAGTTGTGGGGAAGAGATTTATTACAAAAGTGAAGGGGCTGGGGATTTAGCTCAGTGGCATAAGCACCTGCCTTGGAAGCAGGCAGTCGTGAGTTCGATCCCTGGTACCGGTAAAAACGAAAAAGACTAAAAAAAAAAAAAACAAAAAAACAAAAGTGAAAATTAGTGCTGACTAGTGATTCTGATTTTAAAGCCGAACAAACAAGTTCCGATTTGGAAACTGAACCAATAGATTCAAATCCTAAAATTTTTTTTAAAAATTAATTATTAAAATGGGGTATCAAAAAGACAAAGGACTAAGAAGAAAACTTACAGGGAATCAAAGAGCCTGTTAAGATTATACCTAAAGATGGGGCTGGGGATTTAGTTCAGCAGAATAAGCACCTGCCTTGCAGTTGTGTGGTCGTGAGTTTGATCCCCAGTACCAATAAAAAGAAAGAAAGAAAGAAAAAGACAAAAAAAAAAAAGATTTTACCTAAAGATGACAGGCAAGGTATTGGATATCAGCATGCTTTTGACAAGGGCCATTGATGCTTCTCCCCTCAAAATAGCTCTGCCTTTATAATTGAAAACTAAAGGAACCTTTTTGGGTAGATCAATGACCCCTTAAAAAGGAGAAGTTAACGCAGTTACACAAATTAAAGAGTAGGGGCTGGGGATTTAGCTCAGTGGCATAAGCACCTGCCTTGCAAGTAGGCAGTTGTGACTTCGATCCCTGGTACCAATAAAAACAAAAAAGAACAAAAAAAAAGAGAAAAAGATGAGTAAAAAAAAAAAAGAGTAATTACAACAAGGCCATTTAGAAAGCTCAGTTAGCCCTTGGAATACTCCTGTCTTTGTTATTCCAAAGAAGTTATGCAAATGGAGGTTGTTACAGGATTAAAGAGCTGTAAATGCCTGCTTA